CACAGGATGCTCCGGTTTACCCACGACCGACCCCTCAGGCTGTGGCAAAGAAACTGAAAGGAAGATGCCACAAGTGCAATAAGTCAGGACACTGGAAGGTCGATTGCCCTCTCCTCAAGGAAGGTAACTCTCTCGTTAATGTCGTAGAAACATGTTTAGCGGTTGTATCTACCAGAACCTGGTGTGTAGATACTGGAGCCACTGATCATGTCTGCAATTCTATGCAGGGGTTCCAGGATACCAAGCGACTTAGGGAGGGAGAGATCACCATCTACATGGGCAATGCTACGAAAGTGGCGGCTGTTGCAGTGGGAGACGTTACTTTATCGTTCGATAGTAGTAGTTTGGTTTTGAGAAATTGCCTTTATGTTCCTAGTTTTAGAAAGAACCTTGTTTCAGTTTCTAAACTCGTTATGGATGGTTTTCCAGTTTCATTTGATGACATGGTTATTATTCGTTTTGAAAATCGTTTCATATGTTGTGGTTCATTAGTTGGCAATTTATATGTTCTCAAACCGAACTCTCCCACAATGCAACATAATGAATTGAATAATGTCATAACTACATCTAATAAGAGGAAGGAGTCTTCGCAGATGAATCAAGCATATCTGTGGCACCTTAGACTTGGACACATCAACCTTAGGAGGATTCAAAAGTTAGTCGCCAGTGGACATCTCGGTCCATTGGAAGAGCACTATCCAACTTGCGAATCATGCCTGGAAGGTAAGATGGCCAAGAGGCCGTTTACGGCAAAGGGGTATAGGAGCCAAGAAGTGCTAGGATTGATTCATTCTGATTTGTGTGGTCCTATGTCGATCCAGGCTAGAGGAGGTTTCGAGTACTATGTGTCTTTCATAGATGATTACTCGAGATATGGGTACGTTTATCTGTTGCACCGCAAGTCCGAATGCTTTGAGAAATTCAAGGAATATCGGGCAGTTGTGTAGAAGCTTCATGGTAAATGTATCAAGTCACTTCGTTCTGATCGAGGTGGCGAATACCTTTTTGGAGAGTTCAGGACATACTTATCGGAAGCTGGGATTGAGTCCCAACTGACTGCACCCGGCACGCCCCAGCAGAATAGGGTTGCAGAGCGAAGAAATAGGACTCTTATGGAGATGGTTAGGTCTATGATGAGTTATTCGAGGTTACCAGATTCGTTCTGGGGCTTTGCATTGGAAACGGCAGCGTATATTCTGAACATGGTTCCATCGAATTCAGTTGACACTACCCCTTATGAGATGTGGAAAGGGCGCAAGCCCAGTTTCTCACAGTTTCGAGTTTGGGGTAGTCCTGCACACGTGTTAGTGCAGGAACCTGGCAAGTTGGAGAAACGTTCGGAAGCACGAGTTTTCGTAGGCTATCCCAAGGGAACGAAAGGTGGATTATTTTATAGTCCCAAGGATCGGAAGGTGATCGTTTCGACGAACGCTAGATTCTTGGAAGAAGACTATATTATGAATCATAAGCCCGCGAGTAGACTAGTCTTAGAGGAGTTAAGGGGTGAAATCGATGGTTCCCCACCGAGTGCGCAAGTAGATACATCACATAATACTGCATCACGACACACTGAGAGTGTACCAGTGCAGACAGTGCCTCGTCGCAGTGGGAGGGTTTCTCATTTACCCGACCGATGGATAGGTCTTGGAGAGTCGTCAGACTCAGTTCCAGGAGGCCTAGAATCAGACCCAAGAACTTACGATGAGGCACTCCAAAATAAAGATGCAGATTCATAGAATGTTGCAATGAAAGTTGAAATGGGGTCAATGGACTCTAATCAGGTCTGGGATCTTGTAGAACCACTCGATGGGGTACGACCCATTGGATGTAAGTGGATCTATAAGAGAAAGAGAGGATTGGATGGGAAGGTGCAAACTTTTAAGGCTAGGCTTGTTGCGAAAGGTTATACCCAGATCGAGGGTATTGATTATGATGAGACCTTTTCGCCAGTAGCTATGCTTAAGTCCATTCGGATTCTCTTGGCTGTAGCCGCTCATATGGACTATGAGGTCTGGCAGATGGATGTCAAGACAGCTTTCCTTAATGGGAACCTGCAAGAAGACATCTATATGCAGCAACCAGAGGGATTCATTGCTGAAGGTCGTGAGCATCTAGTGTGTAAGCTTAATCGGTCTATTTATGGACTGAAGCAAGCTTCGAGATCTTGGAACATCCGTTTTGATGAGGTGATCCAGTCGTACGGGTTCACTCAATGTCCGGATGAGCATTGTGTTTACAAGAAAATCAGTGGGAGCGTGGTGGTGTTTCTTGTGCTTTACGTAGATGACATACTGCTTATTGGAAACAGTAAGAAGGAGTTATCAGACGTAAAGGTGTGGTTGTCTAAGCAGTTTGATATGAAGGACTTAGGTGAAGCAGGACACATTCTTGGTATTAGGCTCATTAGAGATCGTAAGAAGAGAATGTTGTGCTTATCCCAGTCTTCATACATAGATACTGTCTTGGCCAGATTTAGCATGCAGGATTCCAAGAAAGGTATGTTACCTTTTAGACATGGAATACCTTTATCTAAGGAGATGTCTCCTAAGACGTCTAAGGAGATAGAGGAGATGAAGACAGTTCCTTATGCTTCGGCAGTAGGAAGTCTCATGTATGCAATGCTATGCACAAGGCCGGATATTAGCTACGCCGTTGGCATGGTAGCTAGATATCAAAGTAATCCAGGACGGGAACATTGGTCTGCGGTGAAGCATATACTCAAGTACCTGAGAAGGACTAAGGAGTACATGTTAGTTTACCGTGCAGACAGCTTGTTACCTCTGGGTTACAGTGATTCTGATTTCCAGTCAGATAGGGATGAAAGTAAGTCAACCTCAGGTTATGTGTTTACCTTGGGAAGTGGAGCCATTTCATGGAGGAGTGCTAAGCAGAAATGCGTGGCAGACTCCACCATGGAAGCCGAGTACATAGCAGCCTCAGAGGCAGCGAAAGAGGCAGTTTGGCTCAGGAACTTCTTAGTGGACTTAGAGGTTATACCGAGTTTGCCACGTGGTATCACCGTGTACTGTGATAACAGTGGAGCAGTAGCGAACTCAAAAGAACCTCGAGCCCACAGGGCAAGCAAACACATAGAGCGCAAATACCATCTGATTCGGGATATCGTTGGTAGAGGAGACGTTGATGTTGCCAAGATTGCATCAGAGGATGCATGGCAATAGGATCGACATAGGTCTTTTAGAATAACGGATTGATAGGACTATACTGTAAAAGCGAAAGCTTTAAGTATAAGTGGGAGATTGTTAGTGTTATATACTGAAAGCTTGGCTTTGCATGTTATTACACATTTACCCTTTATGAATGAGAATCATGTTAGATTAAACAAGTTCTACGTTCTGTTGTTCTGCACTTAGATAGGGTGGGTCGTCATCGGGCGAACCGAAGATCACTCTATCAGTCACTTGCGAACAAGAATAGTTGTTCACAACCTAGATGGACATGAACACCCCATCCGAACGGTTGTAGTGTCAACTGTACAGTTTGTCTTGACTGATTAGTTGCACTAGTACATTTATGTATTGAACAGGATCCCAGAGAGGAGAAGTTCATTTTATACTGATCGTCGTAAATGAACTAGGCCTCGGTTAATTACTGCGTTCTCTTAACCCGTAAGATATTAAACAGGCAGATATATATAATATATATTACTTTGATTCACATGGGTGAGGTTCAGTTCGCTGGATTAATATTCCTACTGTTTTGGGTAATATTATTATATATAGGATGTGCTGTTAGGATATTTACGGTCACCATGTGCGTTAGTTTGATGATGTCCCCGGAGTGAGTTCATGAAGGATTGTTATGCTAAACCCTGCAGGTGGATTAAATTCCGGCATAATAAGAATGTGATGAACGAGCGCTAGCTTCGGTGAAATAATAATAAATTAATTAATTCTTGATTGTCAGTAATCGAATTAATTAATGGACATTATATCTTAAACGTGGGGAGGTAAATCGAGTAATTATTATTGGAGTCTCAAATGTAATTTGGGCTAGGGAAAGGGAGTGCAATAATATAATGTTGGTGGCCCATTAATATTATTTAATTAATTAGAGGAGTGGGTTTGGCCCACAGTTAGTCTAATTAATTAAGGAGCCCTTTTCCTAATCTCCTTAGGGTCCCTACTGTAGCTCTATATATACATCATTAAGCTCATGAGAAGAGAATCCCAATCCTATTCACACGTGAATAACGCCGCCCATCCCTCTCTCTCTAGATCTCATTCGAGCTTTATCTTCTTCTTGTTGCTCCACTGGTACAAGTTGAAGAAGGGTGTATTGAGTAATACAGTAGAAGATCTGTAGGTAAAACGAGATGAAATATATTTTGACCTACAGAACTGACCGGAAGTCCGATTGAGACGTACAGTATACCCAGACGACCGTCTCGACGAGAGCATTCCATCGCCGCCAACGTCGCCGGAATCCAACGCTGCACGCGCCCTCACGCGCCGCCGGAAGGTGTCTGGCAGCAAAATTTCGTTTTGATCTGTTTGCATCCGTTTGATCCAGTTTTAATCTGATCTTGTTCGTGCTACTCAAGACGCGTGTTGCGGTCAATCAATTGCGGTCAACCGTTCGTGGTCAACCAGATCTACATAAATTTTAAGCCGTAAGTTTTTCTCTACGTCAAACCTTTAGATCCGCTGCGCATAGGTTTACGTTTGCTATTGAATTCGTGATTTGTACATAACGAGATCCTCACAGAGCCCAACACTGGATAGAATAAAAGGTGATATTAATTGTTGTAAAACTGGTACTGTTTTACAAAATCGTTTTTTTTTCTTTTTTTTTTATGTTCGCCGAAGTTGGTACTGTATACCCGATGTATGGTACTAGAACACCATAATATCGGTACTATCCTACTCTAAATCTGCTACTAATTTTTCAAAATGTTGACCAAAATTGAAGTAATCAATTTTTGTACTTTCTGCAAAGCAAGTATTTATTCATCAAAAACTGGTACTGCATAGAAGAAGATGTGATACTATTATTGGTAAAACTGGTACTATTAAACATGTATCATTAAGAACTTGCACATTTTCTTCCTTTCTACAAAGTAGGTACTCAACACTGAAAAAATGAGTAGTAATAAAAAAATATATAAAAGGGCTACTCTAACTTTTGTGCAGCATTCTGCCTCAACATAATATCAAGAACTCTCACAGTCTCTTAAAAATGTTTGGTCTCATGGCCACTAAGAGCGTTTGCTATTGCAGACATTGGGATTTTGGCATCAAAGTTAATGGCCACTTTGTATGTTTTGGTATGAGGCCGCCTTCTTGATCTCTTATGATCACTTTCACTTAGGCTACCATCAGCTTCCGGACTACGATTCCCAGTACCCCTACAGTCAAGTGTTTCGAAATATAAAGCAGAGACACAAAAAATTAACCAAAAAAAACTACTTAAAAGTAGAAATTACTATTTAGCTGCTCGATGACACTTCGGACATGACCACAGTAAATTCGAGCTTGTTGTGAGGCAGAGGACCCACACTGAACAAGCTTTTCTCACCATCGTATGCGAATCTTTTGCCGGCAAGCTCGGTTTTGTAGGTCTCGTAGACCTGGCCGAGGATCTTTCGCCCGACTCCTTTTGCATCGACAGGGGTATCATCTTCGTATTAGATTGTGACCTACACCAGAAAGAATTAAAAGAACAAAAAAAGAAAAAGAAAAAAAAGACACATAACCATCAGTTTAAACACTATTGGATTTACATACATTGTTAATGATTCAAGACTCTATTTCAATAAACATCTAAATAATAGTGAGAAGACTATACATACACTGTAATGGTAAAAGGAACCATCGATTTTTGATACGGAGACTTTAAAGTGGTTTGTCAAGAGTGATATGTTTTGTCCTCTCGAACCCAATCCTCGCCTGGCCATAGGAAGACGTTTACTACTTCTGCCGAATTTTTCCGGCACACCTTTTGGAGGTATTGGCGTTGGTGGTGGTAGTATTTCCGGTTTTCGATTGTCCATTTTTTCTTGAAACACAATGAAGATAACATTAGAAACTCTTATGCATACACACATACTGAAATGGAAGGCAAAATTAACACACAAATTTCAAGCAGGGATATCAAATCACTTTTTTACTAGTAATAGTTCATCAACATATATCCTCAGGCATAAATCTTGAAGTTGATTACCGTACAAGCATACAAAAACACAAAACCACATTGCTACATAAATTATAATTATCAATCCAATAGGCAGTATGCTAGTTGCAGTATTCACAAGCCCACTTCAATTTGAAAAAAAGAGTGAGTGAAGTTGAATCTGCTCATGATACAGAGGCAATATTCTCCAAACAAACAATTGCCCACTCAAATTCAAATAAAATAATAATAACTACAACAACAACAATTGATTAAGAAAAAACATACCAAAATCAATAAAACTCAAATAAATCAATAAAACCCTAGACATGCAAATAGCCCCAATTTATCAATAAAATTCGTAATTGGTGAAATAAAACTCAAATTCGAAGTGCATTAGCATCAACTAAATACCAAATTTTGAAAAATCTTGAATTCAATAAAAATATCAAAATTTTGAAAAAAATTCCCAAATTCTGAATTGAAGAAAAAAAATCAAAATTGTTGAAAAAAATCCCCAAAATCTTACCTTGCTTATTGTGGACGACAGTTTGTCGGATGTGGAACGACGAGGAGGACGGTTTTTTGAGCCCACCATTCTTTTAGCGAGGAGGATGTGGAGCTGAACGAAGAGAAGGGCAACTTTCCGGAGATATGGCCGGCGACGGGAGAGGGACTGAACGAAGAGACGAACGGAATTTTCAGAGGGAGAGACGATCGGCGGAATTTCCAGAGAGGCGATGGATTTTGAGAGAGAGATACGCAGAGAGAAGACGACGAAGAGAGAGAGAGATGGGTTAAAGAAATGAAATTGAATTTTCAATAAAATAAAGTAAAATAAATAAATAATAATAATATAGGTATATATATGGGGAGTTGAGAGGAAAGAGACATTTGTATTAGAAAGTGGAGAGGAAGAATAAAAGGAGTGGGGAAAGAAAAGAGAATTGGGGATTGGAGATTTATAAGGAATTTACACAAGAAAAAAACACACATAATACACATATACGGGATGTGTGGGTGGTTTTGAATGGCGTTGGGAGAGAGGGTGGGGCCTATAATTAATGATAAGTGGAGGTGGGAAGGTCTGTGAACTAGTCGGGCTGTTCAAACTAATCCAATTGTGAACAGTATCCCACAGTTGAATGTCAGTTCGCTTTTTTCATCTCTTTAATTCAGTGAATCAGATTGGATGCTCAATGCATAGGATTCAGGCAAAATTTATTGTTATAAGACAACCACCTCCCGCAAAATGATTCGTTCTTCAAAGACAAATATATTATATATAAATTGGCAGTGAAAAAATGCTACTTTCGCACTATAGGCATAAATGTTGATATATCATTGATTATTTATCAATATGACGATGACCTGAAAGTGTTGAATAGAGGAATAATGGTAACTATGTATTATGTCAAGAAGTGTCATTTGCGTTATGTCAAGATGTGTCATTTGCGTTATATTAATTTAATAACATAACTCACATGACATATATATGACTCAAAATTTTTAAAGTGTTTTAAATAATAACCAACAATGTACATAAATTCTATGGAGACATTTGTAGTGCTCCGTTCAATTAATAAGAAACAACTCGTTTTATTTTATCTCGAGTGCATTGCATTGTATATCATCTTATTTTGTTAAGCTTGATTAAGTCTATTAAGTTCATTAAAATTATTTAAATTTCCTAATCTATTTAATCCAGTAAGTTGAATAATTAATGTAGATGTCCTCGTCTACTTAAATTATTCCAAGTTTTTATTAATTCCTTTTTTTTTTTCCAAACGATAGATTTATAACTAAAACACATACTTACAACCGACTCACTAGCCGGAAAAGGGGAGGCCTACCAACATCCAAAGGTAGCCTCAATACCACGACACAACACAACAAAAAACACACAAAAACTTCCCAACGAGAGAATACAAACCCCCCAACGAGAGAATACAAACTCCCCAACGGAAGAATCTAACACTCCCCAACGGGAGAATCAACACTCCTAAAACTAAAATCGGGGAAGAAAAGCACAAACGCACTCTTACAACACAACACGAACACAAACACAACAAAATAGATAAATAATGGCCCTTCCCACAGCAGCTAAACCAAACAGAACACCAACCAATGACGACGACACCTACGGGCGGTCACCCATACGGACAGAGACCTAGTCCAAGTCTCAAAGCCAGAAACTGCAGATAAATCGCCTAACCAGGTTCAAGATTAAAGGACTGTGACCCTCGCCCAGGTAGACAACCTATATACCCGCGACCGGAGAAAAACACTACAAACTCCACCTCCCAAATCCCGACGACCCGGGCCCAGGACACAAGATTCGACCCGACCCGACTCCTCCACTGCAACCCAACCAGCCCAATGGCGGAGAAGAACGGAAGAAGAGAGGAGAGTGGAACCGCCCAATCTCGGCCCCGACCACCACCAAGGAGAGGATTGGAGCCACAACCGCCTCGCACAGCCTCATCGGAAGCCTGCCACCGCCTAGACGACGAGGAATCGCCGGACCACATCTTACCTTGACAACCTAGAAGGAGGCGAAAACAAGGAAGAAACCGTCGCGTCGCTCGAAGAAGAGGCCGCCGCCACATCCGACGGTTCTCTGGAAGCTAGCCGTACAGCACGGTGAAGGCCGCCGTCATGGTGGCCCGAAGGCCCTGCTGAGGGAAGGCAGAAATTGCTCTGATTTAGGGTTTCTGTGGAATTGGAAAAAGGCCGGCTGTGGAATTGGGAACCTTTTATTAATTCCTTTGCCAATCAAAAATCGTTCGATTTCAAGTTCAATTGCAAGTCAAATTCTGAGTCATTTTGCTAACTTTTTCCCAAGCAAGACCAAATATTTTTCGGCCCAAATTCAAAGAGAATTTTTGGTCCTTTAAGCACCAAGAACCCTACCCTTGTGAGCCTAAAAAATTTGGCCTCTGTTGCTAAGGTTTTGGCTCCATTTTGAATTCAAAATTCAAGCACACGCACTATGGTAAGCAATCTTGACCTCCAATCGCTCCTTTTTGCTCGCCAAATAAGCCCCAAAGCACCCCAAAAATCCGCCTAAATCAGCCCCAAGAAAGGCAAAGCTTGATCTCTTTTCCCTCATTATTTTTCCCCTCCTTCAAGACATTCCTGGATCAAAATTTCTCCCTCATTTCGGCCCTCTAATAGCAGCAAGAGTGCCCCAAAATCACTCTCAATCACTCTCCAGAGTTCAGAAATTTAGAGACAAATCCCTCTCAAATCCGAGCACCCGAAACTGCACGAGAGCCTTGCCGGAAACCACCGTGAGCCTCCAAGAGCAGCCTTGCCGGGGGCGACGAGATGTAAGCAGCCGTGAACCCATCCGCGATGCCTTGTCGAGGAGAATCCACAAGCGCACCCAGACATGAGGGGGATTAAAGGACCCTTAGCAGGAGCCCGAAGCCTCCACGCCAGCACACCCCGAGGACGACATCGGAGATCTCACACGTAGCCGCGTATTTCCAAGGAGATCCACTACCGAATCATGGACCGAGGAGCAACAAGGGTGAGTGGATCGAGTAACCGCAGAAGAGAGCTAGTCCAAGCGTGGCTAAGCCTTCACCCGCAAATCCTCTCCCCTTTCTTCAAAATCCAAGGAGAAAGGTAATTTATTCTCGTTAAATTGTTCACGTGGAAATTGAGTAAAGTGCTTAAGGCTGTTGTGAAATTATGTGAATTGGAACTCTCTATATGCTTTGATTTTTTAGCCATGAAAATTTTTGCCTTATGCCTTCAAGGAAATTGGATCTTGGTGTTGTTGTTTAAGCCTTATGATTAAACTATTAGATCCATATTTTGAGCCCTTATGCCTTAAGGATTCAGCCTATAAGCCCAGTAATATTGTGCCTTGAAAGTTGACCTTGAAACCATGTTGTTCGTGTTGTTTTGGAACCATTAGAATCAATGAAATCCTTGAAAAATCAATTTTTGGCCGAATCCAAACCTCCTCGGGTGGCAGCCTTAGTACTGACCCCCTCGGGTCGCACAACACCAAAGAGGCGCTGACAGGTACTGGAGATCTGACCCCGTGCGTGACTGCAGCATCTCGTGTTGCAAACGTCGCGCACAGGCATCGTGCACAGACGTGTCGCGCCCACTGACGAGTGGGTCGTTGGTGTGCCGTGCACTAGTTCCACATCACAGAGTGCCGCATCGCAGGAGCCGAGTCGCAGCGGGTCATACCGCGGACACCGGATGTCCTCAAAATGCTGCAGCCAACTTAGGTCACCCCAAGAGCCTAGACCCGTAGCACGTATCCAAGCAAGCAAGCGCGCGTCCCAGTGCCTGGTGTCCAGTAGCGCAAGCATGCGCGCAGCTTCTCACATGACAGTGCGTGCAGACCTGTGACATGTCCCAGCACGTGAGCGTGCATGCTGCCCCTAGTAAATTGTGTTCCCAAGTGCTCAAGGCCAGGCTGCAATGGACGGAAGAACGCTGGGTCGCGTCGAGCAGGGCTGCACTGTGGGCGACCAGCAC